TCATAAGCAGTCTTAACTTTAAAATTATTTTTCTGGTCATGTTCATTACTTTTTAATTTTTAAATACGTCAACAACCTGCATGTTAACCTGGCCCGTACATACGTTTTACTATATCTTCATATCTTTTGAATTTAGAAATCATCTGAATCGCCTTTAACATTTATCAATAAACCCATCATAGTCGTTGTTGCTAATCGTATTTGGGTTTATGGATTGGTGTATCATATTAGCAGCCTAAAATGCGAACATAGTTTAGATAATAAGATTAAAAATTTAGGTACTATTAACTGCACTAGTAAAATAACTAAATCCCTAGGTGGCTGTTGGCTAAACAAACGTTTAAAATAAAAACTCTGTAGCTTACTAGAATTAACACTAAACGAATCTTTCTGAATTAAAATTTATAATTAAATTAGGCGTCTTGGATTCTTTTACGTTACAAATTTCTGATAATTTCGAATCACCTAAAGCAACAATACCTATTTTTCCACTGACTAATCCTCATTCAACACTATAACTAGTTAAACATAATAGTTTCAGGATATCGTCATAAAGCATTGCCATGACTTGACAATCACGTTATATGATTGATAAAATTAATGAAACTATTAACAAAATCGGTCAGCAAATTGACTTACAATTATCACAAGTGTTGTTTTTCTTTTATCTTCATTCACTACAGATGATTACAGTATGTTTCTCTATCAGTTGCTCATTAAGTAAATATCTCAAAACCTTGTCAGTCTAATTGGAGGTTTAGCGACACAATCATGCATGCAAATAATCAGTATAAGCAGTCGAGCAAATCTCCTGCAAACTGAAAACATCAATGTCGAATTTACCCCAACACTGACTAAGGTTCAAGCCATTATCATAGACATGAGTTGGGAGTGTACTCCCCTTGGTTACAACTTATGTTCTCCCTGATAATCACATGAGCATCAATCACTATTAATCATCTTGTAAAAACTTATTTAGCTAAATACATCTTGCAGCACCACATCACTTCGTAATATGATCCATAGGCTTAACTGATTTTAATAACTTATAACCACTATATCTCAATTAAATCGTATTCCGCCTTATGATAAACTGCATACTTGCAACTAACTTGTATGCCCAATCAGCCAGCAAGTATAAATATAAATAAATAGTCTATTGCAGATCAGAACATTGAGTCCAGAGCATGTCTCTTACGAATACACTCATGTTTAACGATTTGTTCCTAGCTATCTGTCCAAAATTCATATAATTATCACTAACGTATTTGAATTTTGTTTTGATCACCATTCATGTGTATTAGTAGTATTACTAAATTCTATCACGGTCAAGTAAAAATGAGGTTGAGAAAATCTCCCCGTAACTAAATAAACCGTATCAAACTAACTGGAACACTAGTTGGAATTCTTTTCCATGGTAATACTTTTGTTCCTTCAGTTAGCCTACTGATACAGATGCAATTGGAAATCAACTCATATGGACAACATACCGGCATAATTGTAAATTGATTTCATAATTTAAATCAAAACCAATACCAATATTAATAATTCTACAACATTTATTACTTTAATATTTCTAAACACAAAATACTTACTACCTATACGTTAAGTTATTAACCAACAGCTATTAACACGCATCGTTTTATTATTATTATTATTATTATCATTATTATTATTATTGTGATCCCATTTTTCATAGCTCAAATAATCTTCACCCAAATTTTCATTTCAAGCATGTTAAGCATGAAGGCAGATTTTTTTTTAAAAATTATTACATGTATTTCCCGACCAGATGCTGCCGCCTTCTTTTTGATTTATCTTTCAGCTTATCATTACCCGGGGGATTCTTCCTAGTCTTGGTAACCTTCGGCGCACGACGATCCCATCCAATTTGGTATCGAACCAACATCACGTTGATTCTGGTGGGAGAGTAGTGTAGTGGCATTGGACAATAGCCACACAATCCACAAAGCTGTGAACACGAGACTACTCAGAAAATAGATATTCAATATTTAACGCGGAGAAATACTTAACAATGGAGAAGGCGCGAACAAGGAATTGAATGGACTGGAGTTGACCGAGTGGCATGGCTCGTCCATGCAGACGTGGTCCATCTCAGTGTTACTTTATATCTTCTATTCATATTCAATATATTGTTCTTTCTCTAGCCTAACCTTGTTCCTCATCATGTATTGGTAATTGATACGATACAGTGAGTTGGTGTAGTCGATGGTGTGACTTCCACGTAAGATCTTATAGATTAGGCAGTTATATCATGACAAATCGACAAGTTTAGGATTAGGTTTATTATTAGAGCAGTACTAATATCATAGTAGACCATAATTCTACAAGGGAAAGTGATCTGTATCCGCACAAGGTCACTAGTCGGAGCGCAATGTTCAACATACCCTAGCAAGCCAGTCTAGACCAGTCGGTCCTCGATATATTGATAACCTGTCAAATATGTCCTCGAACCTTCTCGCTTCTGTCTTCCGGTTTCACTTATACTAGAAGATGTTACTGGTTAAAGCGTTGTCAAATTAAAAATACCTGTGGCATCTTCAAGGTCAGCACTAGTGCAGAAAACTTATGGAGCTTTATTTTGGAGGACTTATTTACCTCTACTGGGATTTGTATACCGCAACATATTTGTTAATTGTTCACTGATAGTTTTCAATATTTTTTAGCCGTTCTCACCTCAAGTATCTCTGTCATCCAAACTATAGTCGTCATGGAGGAAGAATGTATTTTTAAAATCTCAGCGAAATAATTATTGATCATATTGATTAAATTTTCCTTGAAAACGCTTGGACCAGATTGCCAGGCGAAACGTTGGATTTACTTCAAATTCTTTCGCTGAGATTTTGCAGCTACATTATAAGTTATTTTTTCTTAATTATTTTTTGTTACTAATTTAACGATACACACATAGTCGTTTATTCTTGTTCTGTGTTCATAAACACGCTTATTAGACTGTTTGCGTATTTCATGTGTCCTTTATTTCTATTCCCTTATTTTCTCCATTTCCTTCTTTAAACTCAATTCAATATTCTTCTCAATTACAAAGACCCCATTTATTATTATTAATACTCTACTATTATTATTCTCAATTATCTATTTTATTTTCATTATTATTATTTTTTTTAAATATGGCAAGTATAATGCTAACATTATTGAGAATTGTGTATAATTGCATTTTCTGAAGAAACCCGAAATGGTTTCTTCACAACACTTATGTACCCATAAGATGTTTGTGAATAATAATAATAATAATAAATCTACAAATTTAGGATTAGGTCTATTATTAGAGCAATACTAATATCATAGTAGACCATAATTCTACAGGTTTATATCACTGATTGGTATAGAAACATCTGTAGCAACGAAGATCCAGTGCATGAGTTTGCGTAAACACGTGTTAGAGTACACATATCTCTTACCGTATGTGGCTATCGGTTTCTCATTTACCACTTGCAAGTTGAAAACTGGTTCGTACAGTCGGTCGTTACGATTTGTAGAAACGACACTTATTTCTGCGCGTGTCGACCAGATGGCGAACGTTCGTCAACATATCTGCTACTCGTGGTCTGGAGGCAGACCCTCTCCTTGTCGAATTCCTTCGGGTTCGGGGGTGTCTACGAGTATTATGGATACTAAGACGACGGACCAGAGTGTGACAGAGGACTATGACGTCGTTTTCTGATGTTTTAGGCTTTTGTTTGATTGAATGAATCCCAGCGATGGAGGTTCTGGTAATCTTTAAAATCCGGTCAGTAGATGCAGGTAGTTCGTCAACAGCGTTGTTTCGAAAGAAGACAAGCACTGCTTGCACTCATTGGGGAATTTTAGACAAGAAGAGCCGTCTGAGCAGGCCCTCGTCAAAGATCCAGTAACGAATAACCTCTTGCATTCGTAGCAACATGTTTTCCGCTGAGCTGTGTTTCAGCTCGGTGTTGTGGAAAAGTTGGTGTAACCATTTTCGACCGGTTAGGTCTCCGCGCTTAAGAATAGCCTTCCTCAAAACGGCGTAAGGTTCCAAAACACCGCTAGCGAACATACTAGGTATAGCGTACCAGATGGATTCGCTCGATAGTGCCTTCATCACTGCGAGGAACTGTGGACGTGTGTTTGTCACTGTGCACGTGGAAGTCAGTATTTGCGCATCAGTACCAGGCTTCTATATTATCGGGTCAGAATGGCATTAACTGAAATGCGGAAGACGAAAGCGTCTTGATCTTAAATAATTTAAGAGTCTGTTCGGTCATCATGAATATAAAGTATAGCAGTGAACGAGAAAAAGTATCTAAAAATATGAAAAAATCACAATATGTAGTATATGAAGTTCCAAGAGGGAATAGACTCACAGTTTATTGTTTGGTGTACCAGATCACGTCTGCCTCACCACTAAAGAGCCCATGAGTCTCCGGACTTTGACGACACCCTAACCAATAACACCTTTTATAATCGAAACGGGACAACCCAGTGAAATCAGAATCGAAGAGACTCGGAGATATATTTGATAGAATATAGACATACCAAGAAGTGAATAATCTAAGATGACTAGCGGTTGTAGGAAAAGTGAATCACGGCGTACTCATTCGTAATCTGATGTGGATACTTGACCGAACGTCTTCAGCTAGGTGAGTCAATTAAAAGTAATTAGGTCAGCATTAGTGAAGATTTACAGAACTATTTATTTAGGGAACTTATTTACCACTACACGATTGCAATGAGCTATCATAATGGTACTTCTTTTTTGCCTCTTAGGTGAAGGCTCGATTTTCGCTTTACCTTCTTCGGTAGTAAGAGAGACAACATAATTGACTTTTAAATCACTTCTCATACAGTTAATCAATTTTTTGTCTATCAGCATTAGGAAAGGAATAATAGCCTTGCTTTTTTGTCATTAGACTGTAACAAATAAAGTATAAACCATTCGTTTTATCATTTATGGTTATCGGAATCGCCTGTCATTAATTTGTTTAGCTACACCAGAAGACATGTACTGGTTTGTGCAGGCTTTCGTATTTGGCGTTCAAATGGCTCATCACAAGGTTTTCATCGTTGCAGTGCTGCTTTGTAAGTCCCTTGAACGCACTCGTTATCGATTTTCAACTAAATTATGTTTTCTCTCACGTTTGAGTTATATGGTTATGATGTCAAATGACACATTTTGAAGATCGAGTTTTTATATCCCGTGAAACTCTGCTATGGTTATCTTTAATTGCTTAATTTTGTTCTGCATCTTGTAAATGTACGACTCTTTCCAAGGAATTAAAGATTATAGTGATTTTATCCGTGTGATCAAAGAACGTTTTTAATTACTGTTTATTCAATACATATTTATATGCATATATACATATTCATGGAGGTACGCACTTGACAACACAATTAAAGAAATGTTCTGAAACTTTCTTAGTGTGTCTTTTACGTCGTTAGTGTTTAATAATCATGGTTCTGCACTTATGATTTGTTGTATGTTGGAAGGTACCTTATTTACACAAGTATACTCGTCTGGTCAAGTCACTTCATTGGCTGTATACAGTCTACCAAGCTTGGGAGACTAAACAGAAGCGCACACGATATTTCCTTTGGTCAGGTCAGTCAAATTCATACAAAGTCGTTCTGTGCTTTCGCAATCTACAGGCGTGCACATGTTGAAATTCAACAATGCTTGTGTCTGTCAGTAAACATACGATAAATTCTTTCAAGGAAAAGAAGTTAGCGAACAGCTGCTGCATGCGAAACTGAACGGAAAATTTCGCCCTAATTCATCAGAAAATTCAAATGTCGGCCAGCGTTGTGAAGTTTATTCCAGAGATTTCAGACGTTCACAAACCGACAATGAGTACAGCCAGCCTACATATGATCTTCATGGTAGAACAGATAGTGAAGGTTTTTCCAACGTTCCTGGTGTATTCACAATGTCGAATCTTCCCTACCTCATCGAGGTGTCGTAGTTTATATTTTCTTGGAAATCCTTACTCAAGCAGGACTTGCTCACTGACTTCACGTACTAATGCCATAACTTAAACCCTAGATCTATTTCTCACATATCGCTGCTACGTTTAGTTGAGCTATTCTGCTGTGCACAAGTAAAACAAACTCAATCTCTCTTTATTCAGTTAACATTAGGCCTACATATGTAGTTTCTATCACCTTTAATGACATTATACAGTTGTGTGAGTTTGAAATTATATCGCTTTTTGCACTTAGTTCTTTCCATTTAGCTCTTCGATTGTAATGAACGGAAGTTAATACTCTTTATTCTTAGTATTGTGAAGATCTTGTATGCCTTTGAATGTATCAAAATAGGATTAAGATGCTACGTTTTATGATTGAGGACCTTAGTAGTTCACTACATAGTGCTAGAAAGTCAACTTCAAAAGTGAACGATTCGACCTTAGTTTTGGAACTGTTAGAAGGTGTCCTCTTAGATAATCGTTCACATTATGTAAATTCGCAGTACTGTTTAAGCTTTTCAATACTTGAAGTAGGTAGTAAGTATCTAGAGTCTATGCTAACCATTATTTACTAAGTAGAGTTACGTTAAAATATTTGTTTCAGCTTCTTGGATTCGTTTGGCATATGCTATCATGAGAAACTTTATGTTTCCTTTTTATGTGAAAGGCTGCTAAATGACGTGGCTTGTAAATAATTTATGGAATAGATGACTAAGTCCAGTAATAGTCTATTGACAAATTTCATTCGAGTTTAACCCGCACGAGACATTGTGTGACAAGACTAAGTTCTTGAAAATAGTTTGGACAGTCACTATCGGACTACAGATTTTCTCAACAATCTATGTAAGATCTTGTACGAATAATATAACAATAAATCCTTCAATGAGTTATGTGAAACCGATGATTTGATTGGTATTCCCCCCATAACATTTTTTTCTTACCTCTTTGGTCAAAATTAATTCCAAACTTTCATTTTTCATCTAATAGTATTTCATTCCAATAATCTGAACCGTTATAATCTTTTACTAAATAATTCGTTCACAAAGGATACTTGAGCAAATTTTGATAACCTATTCTGTCATAATCTGTCTTTTAGAATGTCTATATATAATTATGGCTTTAGGTGTACCGAATTGTTTTTCACATGTTTTTTATTTCCACCCGGACTAGCCAAAAGTTCATTTAATACATTTCAGAGTATTGCGTATTTCTATGTGTAAACAAAAAATATTCCAATTTATGTCCTAGTTTAATATTGAAAATAGTTTACCAGACTTATGTCATTTTGATTAACATATCTCATATGATTTATGTGAAAGAAAACACTACTCATCATTTATCACGTAAGATTGACTAACCACCATTGTGAGTTTGATTCTTGGTTAAAAATGCCCGCCACTCTGAAGTAAGTAGGCAGTCACAGGGATATGCTCTATTATTTTTACTCCGTTTGATTTTTTCATGAATTTCTACAATTAGATCGATAGGTAAAGTGCTGAAATTTTATCTATTCTAATTTTGTAATAGCTACTACTGTTTAATAATATTATGTGTTTTCACATTTATGTACATGGATAAGGTTACTAACAAGAGTCCCTTAGAGTGTTCCGAGTTGTGTCTGTATGTTCAACTCCTTGAATGAATATCTGAAACTGAATTTGGTCTCGAAGTCTAGTATATGTTTTTAGGTTATTCCCTGACTGTGCTTACTTGTTTTGATAGTTACGAAGGTCATTGGTCACCGCATAAATTACCTTTGTGGTTTTCTCATTGCAGTTGACAAACCACAGCTCTAAAATTAAAATTCTAATCAACTCATAAAACGGGAAAATAATTACTAAATGTGCTTGTTACCTATTTGCTTTTAATAAGTCAAGCAAATCAGATAGAAGGCTTAGTTGACCATGAAACCTAATATGTGGACGGAAAAGCTGTAATAATCCAATTAATGAGGTTTTAAGGTTTCATAAAGTTGATTGGCTATTATTTACAAAACATTTACTAAACATTGCGTAAATTAGTTTGCGGTGCTTGGTTGAATATGAACAGGTGAAAGGTGACCAAAAAAACATGACATCTGCTCACAAAGTACTCCCTTGGTTTTCCGAAATGTGTTGACAATCGTGGACCATCATATTAGAAGAAAAAAGTTAACTTGTAATCAGAAATTTTTTTAATATAGCTCGAAGTTTCAGTCATGCAGACTTACTTATTTTTTCTACTTCGCCATATTTGAGTTTGTCTCATTTCATGCCTGCTGGTCGTTTTAATTGTTTCTTCTAAATATTTACTTTCCATGTTTTTCCTGAAATGTCACTAAACTTATGCTTGTTTAAACCCTTATTTTTCATTTTGTTTATTTATCGCCTCTGAATTGATGCAAATTGTGGCAATTTAGATAGATGCACATTTTGTATTAAATGTCGATCAATTTATAACTGACTGGCTGACTAGCTTAAACAGTCAAAGTGAAGAGAACCTAACAATACGTGAGGCTTTCTAACTTTTGGTTCTGGTTTGTTGTAAGTTTTTACATAGAAAAGATTACATTTGTGGTAGTCATATTGCATACAAATAGTCACTTTCACTGATGTGCCTAATTTCTCTAAGTGTTACCTAATTATGATTGTAATATGCTAGTATTTTCTTGAAGCCCCTAGACGATATACAATGCATTCGATCTGAGTAACTCACTTTATTTACTATTTACTCTTATTACTTGGATTTAGTGCTGTCATCATTTTAACTGCATAACTATCGTCCTGTAAATCTCCCTAAATCATCTATTTTTCAATACACATTAGAAAGTAGTAGTGATCTTAATTATTTAAGATTGTATGATTATAGGCTTATAAACATGTCATATCACTGTATTTTATGCTGGTTTTTGAATACCATGTAAGAATGATAGATTTTTTTTATCGACTATGAATAGAGATACTGTTGTTGTTATCATATAGTGTCAACAATATGTGCTTAAGAATGTTTTCACTGGCTAATAAAATATCTAACACAAACGCGTGATGTGTATTGTTTTATTTGTAATAATTTGACACATTATTACGCGATTTAATCCGACTAAATCGTTTTATAGATTATAATTTGTATTTAGCAACAGATCAGTTGTTTTTCTAGTTAAGATATTTTTGTGTATGTGTAAGTCTATTAACATTAAAATAGCAGAATATATATAGTCAACTGACATAATTCGGAAGTCACGTTTCCTATATTCTGATACTGAGAGAATCTTATTTTAACCTGAATCATTGTTGAAGCATACAAAAACTAACCCTACTACAACGAGCATGGCCTTGATGTAATCGATATTAATGAAAATGAAATTAAAATCACACCATGATACATCAGTTATTCTCAAGACATTCTAGTCAAATGTGTAGCTTTTAGAGTCACGTAGTACGTAGTTATCAATCGGTAGTTAACTGTTATGTAATTGTTATCATAGTGTTCAGAGAATGTAAGGAATATTTTACCTACAAGATGACAAGTTTAAAGAATCTGTTCAGCCCTGTTTCTGTTGATAAGTCTCTATATATTTTTTAAAGCTTTCATTTGTATCCTCTATAAACAATGATTTCGATACGCATGGTTGCTATTTGGATAAACCATTATTTTGGTGATTTTACTGAAATATAGATTATTGTTTGACACTTTATGTTATTCATTATCTTTCGTATTTAGCTAACTTTATTAAGACTCACCAAGCCGCTCATTCTCTCGTCAGTTATTCAAGGTTTATTAGCGTCTTAATTTTAGGGAATTCAAAACTATAAAAAAGGATGAGAAACGAAATAAAAAATAAAGTAACATGATTAAGTAGCTAACTGTGAAATAAGTGAAGTCAAGGGGCAATTAAATGGACAGAAAAAAAGATATTTGATGTGTTGTGTTCTCAACAGAGGATTTATTCTTAAAGTCATAAATTAGCAAGCGGAATTTGTAGATATGATTACACATTCGTTTTTACATAATTGCGCAGACACTAAAGTAGAACTAATGTCGTCCTACAATTACAAGTGGATAAGTGTTAAGATATGGAAATATCAAGTGAATTATACGTTCCTTATCTGCTCTGAAAGTTCCGTCAGGTCTTAAGACAAAAGTTCATGATCGATTAATGATCAATGACTAATTTTAAAGCCAGACTAGTCTTAACGGGTACATTTTGTTCTCGAATTCCTGTTTGTCGGCTGAGTAACGGACGTTTGGATTACTAAAAAGCATCCATCTCCTTTTTATTCCTTGTTATTGAGATTTCAAACCCAGTTTAATGACAAACATAACATTTGGTTATATAGGTTTCTGATAACTACCCCTGAAATTCGAACAAATTTTCTACTATTGGCTGTAGTTTTTGTCAAAGTATTTTCCTTGAACGTTTTGTTTCCAATAATTCTTCTCTTGCTTGTACAGTTCACCTTAGTTAATTCGGATGGTGAAGTCACATGTAGTTAATTTTATATTCAGTGGTCTAGTTTACCGAATATCTACAGAAAAATACAATCTCTCGAACAGTTTTTCTCAACTATTTTTTAAAATGAAATGGCTCACTGAATTATCTTTGATTTAAGATTCATTGTCTTGAGTAAGTGTTTAAATTACTAAATGGTTAAGAAGTTTGATATCGGCCAATTGATTAATTTTTAAATTGATTTATTGAGTTCCATAATTTGGCAGCTACAACATCAATGATTGCTTTATTTACAAAGTTGAAAATTCCATAGTTATGTTACACAGGTAGTAGTTTTTACCCTTAAGTTTTAGCTCAAATTTGTGATTTACCTGTTACATGATATAAACAGAATGATTTCGAACATAAATAAGTCTTTAAAATAAGTAGAACGATGACCGAGACTTACACGAGTGTTGGTAATTTTATTTTGTAAGTAACATGGTTTCTAAATAAATGTCAAGTTCGATTCCCATGAAACACGGAAAAATGACAGGTTTTTCCCACCTTTTTTTCCAAGATGAATACTGATTTGTATGATATCTGCTTTGGTTTTCTCAATATTGGAAACTTTTGTGAGACCTGACAGTTTACTGTGTATGTTAACGCGTATTTGTTATAACTTGTGACTGTGGATTAGACGGCAGCAAATTGTCGATCGGACCAAAGACGCGTAAACACGTAAAAACGGCCTAGAGTTCTAGTTGGTCCCATCTCCCTGTCTAGCCCAGCCAGTTGAGTCCAGAACGCAAGTCTCAGCCTCTGAGATATAAATCATTATATTTCAAGCATACTGAGTTTATATACCAAACAAACCGACCACAACTTACCAATAGAATATGAAACAACATTTGTACGAGAGTTAGCCAGATGTGGCTGTGAATGAGGGAGGTAGCGATTAACAGACAGGGAATAATTCATGAATGGTAAATCGTATAATAATAATTCATAGGCCAAAATATAGCTCACAATAAGAGGAACACGAATATGAACAGTTCAGTTACATAACAATTATACGATAAAAATATACTAATAATATTGGTCCATAAATGGATCCCAAAAATTACCGTTCATTATTCTTATCGGGATACAGCAGTAATTATCCAAATGCAGTTATGAAAGATAGTTTTGTATCAACGTTGTTAAGTGTGGAAAATGCTCGTGATGACACAAATTGGTTTGATTCAGTATTTTTGAGTCTTAAGTACAGTTGTAATTCTAAGGCTGTGTTTGTCTGAATTAACAACTGAGAATTGCGATATTTTAAGTAGATCGGTCTACATTCGGTTTGAAGATCATAATTTTAAGTCTGTAAGCTACCTAATGCGATTTTAAAGCGTTCTTATTTTATGCTCGAAATTTTTGTAGAATGTTTTGGGTTATACCGATAGAGAACTGATTGTTCTTCTTAACCTGGACATTACTTAGACTTGGTTGATAGAAAAACTATGCAAATAGCATTAAGCTTACAAAATTGACCATTTCCTAAGAATGAAACCCAGCCATGAAAGTAAAATTCAATATTTTATTGTGATGTATTAATATCAGACCACCATGGTGGTTTATCTTCAACTGACTCATTATCTTAACCATTGAAATATATTATATTATTGAATTAAAATGACAACTGACATGTTTAGAATTCTCTTAACCTCTCTATCACTAATAAATGTAATTAGCATTGGTTGCTGATTAAGTAAAATCGGTAAATTAATTAATGCAGTTGGGATGTTTGATATTTAACAAAAGTAATCAAACATTATGCGTAGTGAAATGGGAGTAGGTTTTAGAAAGGCTAAGGGTAACTAGACCGGATGTTAATGATTGGTGAACACATTTACTGTTAGTTAGCATCGTTTCAGAATGTGTCAACTCACTATTTGAGGTCCATTAAGTAATTTTTAGATCAAGATTGACCGCACCAGTGAAGATATATTAATTATTTTTTTTCCTTTGAAAACAACATAATTGTCCATTGTTCGCTATTCATTTTGCGTCATTTACATGTTTCTAGATTTCAACCACTGTCGGTATTATCATTTTTTCTTCCATAATTTTCTTGTTATTGTCTTCTCCTTATGCTAATGTGAAGTGTGGGAAGTTCAACTATTGAGAACTTTTATAAAGTCCTACTTTACTTTTATTTTTCTTTATCCAATTTTGTTTGAATGTACATTGTCCTCTGAATATGTTGTGTTCTAAAATTTCGATGTTGGTTGTCTTTCAGTATGTGTACCATACGTTATGTTGATTTTTAATATGCATGCAGTTATCTTACGATTATTATTGTTGTATCTCACAGGTTGTGTCTGTTTGACAGTTTCATCAAATGGGAAAGTATCCGTCATTGATCTACCTTACGTTTCCGGAGAATGGTATTGGAAACTGCGTTTCTTTTATCCAGCCAGTAAAAGCGTGAGCATCTGTTTTTTTAAATGATACCATCAAAATTATTTTATTGTAAATGTAGGTGGATGGAAATGTTGGTGAACTACAGAACTATACGTTTATTCCGAAGACAACCTCATCTAATGTACATACAAATGAAACTATAAAATCAGATAACCAACTAATTAGTATTAATTTGGTTATGTCCACAGAAGGTTCCAAACTACAGAAATGTGTTTTGTTGTTAACAGTAGAGCAGGATGAAGAATACTTTGCATGGACAAATATGACATTAATATATCAGTTCGCTGAGCCTTTATCCACTTTATCACAATCTGAATTACCTACTTCTGAAGCCAAAAGTATGTATGGAACAGTTAAATTGAACATAACGTCTACTTAACCGATTCCTTTATTTTCTACAAATATAGTTTCCACTTCGCCTGATCAAAAATTTTTAACTCGTACTGATGAAGTGTATGTGTGTGATACAGAAATACCAATTAAATTTGGTCACAATGTTGAGATTGTCTTTAATTCAATGACATTTCAAGCATTTAAATCTGAAGAAACAATTAGACCAGATCGTAAGGATACTGTTATTCTTGTTATACATCATTCAATTATATTCTAATCTTTTCTAGGCTTACGAGAAGTTTGTCCACGTGACTTCAAGAGTAATATACCAATTACAGCGTTGACTGGAGTTTCATTGCTTGTTGTGGTAGTACTTATTGTTTCAGTATTTGGAATAAATGCTTATTTGGCTCATCGTAAACGGAAGCAGCACTAAACGAATTTGTTTTATTTATTGTACATGAGTAACTAATCTAAGTAAATACAGGCTTATTGTATCGTCTAAAGAATCGTTATCAGGTTCACTGCTTTTCAAACATTGAACTTTTATGCACGTTGTCTACAGTTATGCTGTTGAGCTTCACTGTTGTTAATAAATTTATTGTATGCAATGCTCTTTATTTGTGATTAGCAGTTTTAGTTCTTAATTTAGAAAAAAAATTTAATTATATATTCATTATTTGTTAATTTTTCTTGCCTTGGTGCATGTACACATGATCTTCAATGTTTATTGTACATTAATTTGTTGTAACAGAAGTGAAATATCTTTAGTGTTCCCTTATTTTTACTCTCTCTCTCTCCATATATGTGTATAATTTAATAATAAAAGATATGAGATGAAGTAAATGAATGACTATGAAGAGAATCAAATATTTTTATGGATTAATACTTTTGATTTTTTTTATTTATTTATTTTGTTCAACTACGAAAAATCAAACTTCTGTCATGTTTCATATTTATTATCCATGTGAATTATTATTATTATTGTTAAAGTTGTTAGTATCTATGTGATTGTAAAGTTGTAATAAACTTGTTAAATTAAATTATATTACAGTAATATTATTTATGAAAATAATAATTCAATAAATATTCGATTTTTTTTTTAAAAAAAGTTGTATAGTCTACTAAATGTTCAGTGGTTTTGCTTCGAATTACTATCAAAGAGCATTGTATTACACTGGCCAATATAAACTAACATTTATAGACCTTTAAACGAATGCACATAAATATTATTGTTTTTTTTTGTTGATAATTTTGTCAGTGTTAGTATTCTTTTTTGTTATTTTTGCTTATCAATGATTACAGAATGATAATTCATCGTTATTAACTTCCTTTCTTCTCACATAATGTCTATTCCAGCCTAATACTGCATAGATGGCTTATGGGCTAAAATAGTTCAATTTCACCCAATAATTCTCAAGTTCGAACCCTACTCCATCTTTTTTAACTTAAACAAGCGAGTAATGTCACAGGTGGTCATAAAAGTGGTATGGTTCAAAAGGGATTACATATTCTCGATAGAAAAATTACTTTTCAGTGCATTATTCTCATGGAGTGTAGGACTTTTGAGGCTATCTGTTTTCATTTCACTTGAATATATTGCAGTACGCGGACTATCATTTAACGAAAAAGACTCTTACTCTGTTGAGTATTAAGAAATAAAAAATATTTTCTTGGAAAATATCGCCGACTAATTATCATTGTCTTTATGGGCTACAAAGTTTGTTCACCATTGAGAATAATAATTCGATATTTGGTTTATTCTATGTATTGGTAGAAATAAGAAATCTTATATTTGATTAATGTGAAATTTCGGATAGTTTCATTTCATATAACAAATTTCCTTGAAGATATCTGTGAACATAACTAAAACAATTGGTGTTTCATTGTCATCTGGAGGAGATTAATTTACAAAGGGAACCTAGTTAAATTTATATATTTTATAAATCTTTAATCAAGTTACTGCCTATATGATATATGTGTGATTAACAGAAGAACTTGACAGATTATAATACTCTGTCTACATATGTGTCAGTGATAGACTTATGAAATTGGATCCAAATTTGAATACAAATGTTTTGTTCGACTGTTATTTTCAGCACGCAAAAAAAATTCAAAGTTTAAAAGTTTTAGTTTTACCATTTTATTATAAACTGAGTTAGGATAAAATTACTGGCATAATGCGCATTTCTATCTTGAATTATTTTCTCGTTTTAATAATCCATTGTCATATCTGAAAGTAGTCTTTTTAATTAAAAAAAAACTAGATATAAGATGGTAAGTATATTTGGAACTTTAAGATAATAGACAGTTGTGGTGTGTGTGGTGTATCATTATTACCATAATATAGTTATGAATGTTAAAATGTGGCTGATTAAATCAGTGATTTCTAATTTTCATTGAAAAGTCGTTAAAATAAAATGGTTTCACTTTATTTTTTTGTTACGGTTTTTTGTTAATGATCGTTTACAAAGTTAATAACCTAAATAATAAAGGGTTTTGATGATAGTTCCGTATTTATTTTACACCATTTTAGGTGATCTTTACCGTCTACTGCTTTAGTCTAACTGTTCAAATGAAAAAATCAGCATCTTGAATTCATGTATCATTTAGCCAGGTCCTAAATAGTTTTTTTGTTTATCGTTATGTCACTTTATTGAAAATTAAATTTGGACAAAAAAGTTTCTACAACAAAATTTTTTGCTTTATCAACTTTTTAACAAACAGTGCTTCCAAGTTTTCCATGGTGGTCTAGCTTTGATTGACTCATGAACTCAACTATTAAGTAGTTTTCTCACTATACTGAAGTGAACTATGTATCAGTTAAGGTAATTCATTAACGGATTCGATTAGATTACATAATTTCTGATTTGTTTCAACTATAGTATAAAATGATAAACTGGCGTTACTCATAGTTATTTACGACTTATTGAGATCAAGCTGAAGTTTTCAGGTGTTAATTGTTAGTGAATATGTGAGAAATCAGTTGGATTTGTATATTTTTGGTCACCGACTGATATTATTTACGTTATCATAATAAACATTGCAATCACCATAATATATTACGAACTAATTGGAGTTGGATATCATATCTGACTTCTTAGTGTAAAGATGATCCACTCGTCTTAAGGTCTGAATGTTCTTAAGTTCGTTAGCATACACTGTGGTGATTCGTCTGTCTAGAGGTGCCTCCTTTTCTTTATTTTTCTAGTATATATCAGTTCATGACAAATCTATCTTCGAGATAATTTTTAGCCTAAATATCCATACTTGCTTTAACTGTATATAAAAATCCTCAGTGTAACAGACTGAACTTTATGTATTATAATATTTGGTATTTTGGCATTATTCATGAGATAAATCAGCTAATAAATGAGGAATAATTATTCTTTAATCAAAATTAAGTATTTTTAGCCATTGCAGTAATTTGGATGTTTATAGATGAATCTTGTTATTTTCATTTGATGAAGACTATAACTTTTGTCTTATTTGTATTTACTTAACATTTTATGGTGGGTATTTTTGGATAAGAATCTAATGAGAACTTTTTATATGTTGTATACACAAGAGTTTTTTTTACTCTTAATTGACTTTTGAGTAGTCTGTAATTTTCTGTGGCTAGAAACATAACTGATGATATAAATATTTAGTGTTTGTAATCGGTCTACTTCAATTAAACCACACTGTTATGTTATAACACTTATCTTCGACTTAATATGAATTTATCATTTACTTGATATTTAAACAAGAGTTACTTATTCTGATTGAGGTTGAGTTTCATTAAGCACGTAGAATATTCTGAAAACGTTCGATATTAGGTTGGAAAAGTGCTTCAATCAAATTTGCCAATTCGAAAATTTGCTTGTCTATGGATAGTAGATATTTCAAATTTACTTCCCATCACTTAGAGTTAGCTTTGGAATGCTCGTTCGAAGAGTAATTAGCCTTTAGTGCATATATTGATTTCCTCACGCGGACAATTTCTTGGGATTTTATCACACTGGGTCACATAATCTAGAAGCTATTCATGGAGAAGAATTGTTTCTACCACCATATTTTGATGAATACACGCACAATGATTAGTGTCACGTTAATAATGTTCAGTCGTAATCGAGAGAAAGCCTAATGGCAATGAATTCGAAGAATAAGCAATATATTGTTTAATCTTTTTATAAATAGTTTATTTTTTACTTACTCAGTTAAATCAACACTTCAGTATCAACAAGAGTTGAAGAACAATCAACAAAATACTGCAAAAGACTCAGACTCTTTTAATTCAGTTAATGTAACTGAGTGTATTGAATTGAAGGATGCTAATTTGAACATCAATAATCAACAAAGTGGAACAATGAATTCAAGTTCAAGAAATTCACATTTACCACCATTAAATAGAATTACCGTTATCTCTCAAGATGACTTTCATCAGTTATGTGCTCTTCTGGAGTTTCGAGGTTATTTTCTTATTACATATACAAACAATCGTTCGAAAGAGGTAAGTTTTATTTTTTATAGCTTAACTGAAAATTATTTAAAGTATAGTTTCATGTGTATTTAGTTTTACCGTCTTCAAGGTTTCTGTTATTTTGTACTTCTATGTTTATTCTGAAAATATGGCGCTTGTAATTTAAAAATCATATTTCATTTCCACTTACGAATCATGACCATTAAATTCAAGGTATGTATGTGATATATGGTAACGAATTTAAGATGTGATTGGTCACTGAGCGTGAACACATAGGCTCAAAAGGAAATAAGACGAAACATAGTGACGCTAACTTGATAGAAGAAAGAAAACACTCAACTGACATCAGAAGAACAAAAAGCCCCAAAGAAAATAAAAACTAGAGATATTGTCATAGTTCCAGCGGACAAACGACTCACTACAGTAATTATGGACAAAGATGAAAGTATCAGGAAAGCCAGGGGTTTGTTTGAGGATGAAACGTGTATAAATTAATGAACACAAATCCAATCAAAAGGTTAGACAACCAAATTTCAAGGACTTAAACAAGCTTATAAAAAGATGACAAATATCAATTCAAGATCAATGGAAAATAAAATCCAGTAAAGCAGTACTCCCTCGATTCTACGGTAGTTCGAAAATACACATCCAAAAATTTTACTATGTCCAACTGTATCACTCCCATACAACATACAATTTATCGAGAGAAATTTAAAGAATATTGAAGCATTTAGTGGATTCATTCAATCAATCCATCAAATCTATCATGCAGTTCTTGTATAAGGTTAAGGAGATTCAAATCAACAACGATGATTTTATGATATCCCTCAATGTAATAGTCTTATTCATTTCAATTAAACCAAACATAGGAAAAGAAATTTGATCCCTGCTCCTTAACAAAGACACATGTCTTCCAAAGTACACAAAGCTTCAAAGTCAAAGTTTACTAGATTTCATCGATTTATGCCTAACAACATACTATCAATTCAACAACAAAATCTACGAACAAACGAAAGGAACACCGATGGAATCATCAATATCAGGAATTATTGCGGGAGCAGCAATGCAGAGACTTAAAGCCTCGATCTAACCAGTGATCAAGCCGAAAATGTCGATTCTTTATGTGGTCGAAGCATCATCATCGAAAAGACGAAATGTAAAACACTAAAAATCTGATCTGAGCAACAACCCAAGAACTCACAAAATGGTTTGTGTACAACACTTATTCAGGAGGTTGGAAATACACTGCAGCACACCTGCAGTGCGGGAAAATAAAGAAAAGTATCTAGTGACTATCTTTCAAAAGACCACCTACCCATTCGAATTCACCAAAAAGTATCAACTCAACTCATCATCAGAAACAAAGTCAAGTACAGAAAACAACCAATGGATCATCCTATCATATATAAAAGGTATGTCAGAAATTAAGAGATAATTAAAGCCGTTAGGAATAGGTGTAGCAAACAAACCAGCGAAATCACTTCAAACAATTCTATGTAAAACAAAGGATGGTATGATAAAAGAAGAAAAACCGAACATCACCTATAAAATAAACTGTTACGACTAAGAAAAATACTATATTGGATAAATTGGGCGCCCACTTCATCTTCTCCTGCACTAACATTGTTTAGCGGTCAAAAGCCGTGACATATCTTCCCTCATATCAATGCGTGTGAGCAACAACGGACACGCTTTTGACTAGAAAAATGTTGAGATATTAGATAGTGGGAATACCGAAAGCATCAGGGGATTTTTAGAAGCTTGGTACTTAGGTGAATCAACAAACACATTGGAATCGAGCCAATCTATCAATCAATCAAAAAACATGCACAGATATAGTACTAAGAATCAAATCAAAGGGAGATACAATCAAAATAATGTTAGGCAATGATAGGTTAAAGGTCAACAATAACCAATGAACATCGAGGTTGACAGGACAAGTTGTGAGTCAGATGTGGAGAAATTCAAACACTTTACTTTTACTTGATGTTTGTGCTGATGATATTGTTCAGAAGAGCAATGAAAGCTCACCAACCAAACCATCCAGCTCCGATAACAAAACTACCTAACGCACATCCTACGGACTATTAAATATGTGATTTCCTTTCCTCTCATTAGTTTATACTCTGGACTTACTGGGTGTAACTGTTTGTGATTTTGTTGGATAAAGTATTACCTTGTGTTAATCTGGTCCTCTATTCTGGGCCATGAATCATGGATCTAATATAGCGTGAATAGTCTCTCTATCACCGGAGTCAGATAAGGCTGTCTACTCTCCCCCTTCCTCTTTCTTTTGGTGGTTGACTGGATTATGAAGACCTCCACATCTGAGGGAAAGCACGGAATAAAATGGACAGTTCAGAACCAATTAGACGATTTGGACTTCGCAGATGAACTAGCCCTCCCATCCCATACATACGAACAAAGTCAGATAAAGACAATTAGTGTAGCAGCAGCCTCTGCATCAATAGGCCTCAAAATACACAAAGGAAAAAGTAAGATACTCAAATAAAACACAGGGAACACCAACTTAATCACACTTAATGGCGAAACTCTGGAAGATGTGAAGTCCTTCACATACCTGGGAAGCATCATCGATGAACGTGGAGGATGCGATACAGACGTAAAAGCGAGGATTGGCAAAGCAAGGGCCGCATTCCTACAATTAAAGAACATATGGGACTCAAAAAAAACTTTAAACCAATAAAAAATCAAAATCTTCAATACGAACGTCAAGACAATTCGAGTGTACTGAGCTGAAACTTTGAGAACTACCACAACCATCATCAAGACGGTACAAGTATTTATATATAATTGTCTACGCAAGATACTCAACATTCATTGGGCGGATATCGTCAGCAACAGCCTTCTGTGTTAAATAACAAACCAGCTGAAGAGGAAATTCGGAAAAAACGTTGAAAGTAGATAGGACAAACATTGAGGAAACCACCAAACTGCATCAAGAGACAAGCAGTAACTTGGAATCCTGAAGGGAAGTGGAAAAGAGGAAGGCCGAAAAACACATTACGTCGGGAAATAGAAGTAGATATGTAAAGGATGAATAACAACCGGCAAGAGTTGGAAATGATTGCTCAGGGCAGGGTTCGATGGAGAGTGCTGGTGGGCGGCCCATGCTCCTCCACGAGGAGTAACAGGCGTAAGTAAGGAAGTTTCACTATCATATTAACATATTATCGCTGTATACCTATGTTCCGGCGATCCAGAAAATTCCTTGAAAAAAGTCAGAAAGGTTCTGAAGACTCTGAGAAACATCTTATCAAATCAATATCCAATAGAAGTTTTGCCAGAAACATCTAGAAAGTGACAAGTCACATTTCGCGTTTCTGATTTGATTATCAGCTATGCTGTTACTATGTTTAGTAGTGTTCCAGAAATTTCCGAAAGCCCAAGACCATTTAACATACTATAGATACCCTGAATTTTCCGTACACAAACGAATTTCGGAGTGAAACGTTCTTTCTATATTTCGCGCCTTTTCTCTCGTGCTCAAGTTGCTATGTAGATTAGCCTGAGGGGGATACTAGAGAGCTTAGGAAACAGAATCTGGAGTTCAGTTAGAAGAATTACCAACCTGAGAGAGAAAAATATATTTCAAACCATCCGTTATGTAAACATTAATTTCACCTTTACATAATATAAAGATCCATTATTATGTTTATTAGTCAACATTTCTTCTATGATTTCAGAACCACTTAATAATTCTTATGGTGATGATTATTGTTACATTTGCCACTTATTGTGTCTGAGATATGTTATGGACAATTATCCGCAAATAATTTCACACCGCATTTACGCTCCAATCATTGCTCGCTATGCCAGTTATATGACTGAATAAATATTTCCACAGTAGAAATCACAAGTTGATCTACGCTAGAACACCACCCTGAACAGAGGACTTGAACCCAGGGCCTTCGGTTCCGCGTGCGGATACCAATGAGCTGGCATCTAACGGTGTGAATATCTAACTTCAATTGATGAATGATCTTGTGCAACCCGTCATCCATTGTGCGAGATCGTGGGAATTCACCGCTGACGAGTTTCATACTAGAACGAAATGGTCGTTCAGTGTTTCCAGATTTTCAGTAGTGATTTAGCTTAGACCGACTCATGAATTCTACTTTGATCCACAATAATCTCCACAAATCCCCCTTACTGGGAATAAATATTTAACAGTGAAATGTTTTTTCCACCTTTAACAATGACCCAATTGATTTCTCATGCTAGATTCTGTAACTGGAGGAAATAAAGTTTGCTGCTCAACGATTTGTAGTAGTTAATTATCTAACGGAGGCAGTAAAGTTACCAGTATTATAATTCCCTGTTATTTCACGTACTAGTTGCTACACTTATAATGAATATGAAAAGTTTCATATCGCCTTCCATGTATCCACTTTTGAGGGAAACGTAGAGGTTGTTTATTTAATTTGACACTATCTAATTACTGTAAAGTTGTAGTAAAATAGAAACAAGTGATTGATTGTAGGTTATGTCAGAGTTATGAATTTTGATAAGTGAAAAGTTTAGCCTGGATGTGAAGCCAAGGGCGGAAGATTTCATTTGTTCATGGTAATGTTTTGGTCTAACTTCATTAAAACAATATTCATCTTACTGATTTACCAGAATCATTTCAAATTTTACACTGAACAGTAAGCATTGAATAGTTGAAATAAAATGTCAACTATATTTATACTTTATTTGAAAAACAGTTTTTATTGACCTGGCTTTTTACATTGACTTTAGTACATAATTTTTATGAACTGAACAACGTAGCTAGTGGTGGTTTTTATTCAGTTTCATGCTAAAAAATATCAGTATTTCACACTCGATGCACTTTTTGTTTGGCACTAATATGCATTCTCTTTTTTAAAAACTAATTACAGTATTACCACGAAATATTTGACTTTTGATTGAAAATGTTTTAGACAACCTGTTATCGAATTCCTATCGATTTGACAGAGAAATATTCTTCGAAAGATGAGATTTCTTACATTTTGGATAAATCTTTTTTGATGAATCATAACAACACAACAAACAGCAATATATCGGATAATAACAGTAATAACAAATCAAAAATACCATATGGTGAGCCAGATAATATGATCATAGTAACAACGAATTCATCATGCTGTGACAATTTTCTTCGATGTTTCTCTCTTCCACTCAATTCTAGTGGAAATGAGAACAGTTTGATAAGAGATTGGACAATTGATTTTTACTGGAACCGTACACCAGAAATGTACGAGTTTGGTGAAGAGGGTTGGAGTAGTGTTGGTTCACCTGTTGGCGCATTATCAGGTGTTTATGATCTGGTTGATGTGAAACTAAAGTATCGTTTTGATAGAAATTCTGGATTTGACTTTCTAATAAGTGGAAATGGTATGTTTACAGGTTACTTCATTTTATTAAACTATACTATTCTCTGCAATGAAGAGGTTTACGTTTTGTTTTGCTTAAATTCACCATAAGAAAACAGTCGTCAAATATACGCCTTTTAGTTGTGAGTGGTTGTTAGTTATTGGAAGAGTCTTGAGGCTCGAATTCCTTCTTCTTGGTCATCATTAGCAAGTCATACCAACGATCTTTTGCTCCCTTAGTGGATACAAGCCTACATCACATAGTATTGCAGTAACAAATCCCATGATCAGTCTGCTTGAAACATGTTACAACTCCGGTAAAACTAAAATATATACGCTAATTGGTTGTTGATCGGCAACCGATCCAGCGATATCTGGTCTATAACTGCTCTAGAATGGTACATTGATAATTAACGATTATTGGAACTATTGGTGATTAGCAGTTAGTATGTTATTTCTCTTAAATGCATCTGATTTGTTGGAAGAGAGCCAATTTCTTCGAACCAGATCCTTGAAATTCTGTGATGCTGAAATCTAAGGTGAAAATATCTGTTGTTCCATCGCGTCTATACTAACTTACATAATTAATAATTTGAATTTAATATAAGATAATCGATAATTACATTTTTTTTTATTAAACAGTTTCTGGTTCTCTATTGTAGCTGAATTTATTTTGTAGGTGCTACCATGTGATCACGTTTTGTAAATAAGATAATAATAATTTATTAACTTATTTTCATTCTGCATGCTTTTGTTGTTGTTTTTTCACCTCTGTGTGTATAAAAATACCGTTTCTACTCTAAATAAATATTTTTGAAGTAGAAGTATCGTTGATAATGATGATAACGAAACAAAAAAAAATCGACTTAAAGATTCCATGAAGTAATTATTTATGTTTCGTCTTAACGTTTATTTAATTTCTGCCAAGGTTTCGAAACCAAATAACTAACTTATTACTCTGAGTCATGAAATTAAAGTTTTAGCGTTGTTGTTAAATAGCAAAAGCAACTGATAAGAGCAAATAAAAGGAGGAAATTTCATTCCAGTCACTATTAAATAGGACTTAATAAGTAGACATTGTTATATGCATATTGTACTTAGAAATTGCTTGAGGTGACTAACTCTTTGACATTTGTAAATAGACGAGTCCAAATTTAATGATTCTCTTCATTGAAAAACTGGATGTATTTTGCAGACAAACACTATCTAGAATGCACAGACCTTAGTTTTGAAAATAGTATTTTCAAACTACATTTTTTCATATCAGCGGTTAAAAATGAAATTTCTCTATCATTTATAGATGGTCCAGGTGAACAAAAGAATGTTTTGTCAAATTAAAAAGAAAAAGATATTTATACAACAATATCACTAATTCTGAATTTTCAGATAAATCTTCTAATGAGCAAAATGGAATGTTTTGAACGAAATCCACTATATAAAAATAACAACCAGAAAGTTTAACAAAAAAATATTCACTTTCTTTCAACTTTATAAAAATCACAATTGTCTTAGTTTCAATTTTGTGTCTTAAATAATTTGATTATAATAATCGAAATGAATAGAGATTGAAGGTGGTTAGTAGTAGTATTCAGGACGCTTGTTAGATTCTACTTAGAACTTTTCGGTTGAATGTGCCTGCATTCGAGTTCAATCACTTTAACTACCATCACACTACCTACTTAGCTACTGGAATCAGTAGCCGGTTTGAGTCCCAGAGTGTACATCAACTTTGAGATTCAGGTAGGTACAGTTGACGAGTCTGAATAGAACGAAACATCCATTCTGAATTCCATTGCTTAAAATTGCTTGTGACTCAATGGTAATATTGAGGTAGTATGCATATATGCCAAAAGAAACTGATCAATCATGTTCACAAATCATTAATAATTTTGATTATCCATCAGAGAATTGAGTAAATTAATCAGTATATATAGTTGTGTGAAGAGATTTATTTTATTTAAAAATTATCGGTCAATACAAATGTTGTGTAATAAGGGGATCCATAAACTGATTTAGATTTTTCATTGTTTATCATTAAAACTATTTTATAATAACCTACACATAATTAAATATCACAGATTTAAATCATGAGTCAGTTGAAGCTAGACCACCATTGAAAACCTGGAAGCACTGGACGGCCGTTTCGTCCTAGTATGGGACTCCTCAGCAGTGCGCATCCACGATCCCGCACCACGCGGGTTATGGAAATTTAAAATTCCTGTAACAGCCATAAAACTTGAAGCTTTCCTTCTTAACGTACACGTATCAGGCTTGTATCTGTCGATAATGAGGCCTCTGACAAAATGCATTGGTTATTACGAACCGTCTAACAATATCAATAGTATATGTTCAGTAGTTAATAATCTGAAATAAGTTACTAGCAAAAGTGCAATAGTTATTTACTTATGTTGTTAGAAGCTTTGATCTCCTAGATATTGATGTATTAGTATGGAATAAAACATGATATTCCAAATTAGGATGAAGTTTCAATCATTTAATTTTTTTTTGGTTAAAGTTTATCAGTTGAAACTCGAATAAAAAAAATTAGTCTTCAAACTACAGTAAGCTTCTATAGAACATTAAAATGACAAAACATTTGTTAGGACTTTCAAAATTTTTCTAAAAAGTGGTGTTTTTTGATAACTCACAAATGTACATAAATTTTGATAGATACTACTCCAACTAAATGGGCAACGAATTCTTAAATTTCAAAGATTTGGATTTATTCCAAACTCATTGTGTCTTCCACTTTTTTTTGTTGAACATTTGATTCACCAAGAGACATCAGTTATATGGATCTACTGTTCGTTTCATTGTGTCATATCATAAACCAGCATCATTTGGTTTTTATAATTACTTTGAGTATCACTAAATATTATTGAGTATGAAAACCACAGAACAACCATATCTAAAACGACTTAAAGTCATGTGCAGTTCAAACGGGATTTCAGTATTTATGATTGTATAATAATCAAATCTCTTAGGTGCTAGCAAAAGCAAGTATTTCCAATCGCGGTCTCTGTGGTAATTGAATTTTGCTGAAAATAAATCCATACTCAGCATTTGGTCGCTGAGTGATAATCAGCGTCGTGTTTATTTACTGCACAGTGTTGATCGATTCCCATCAATATAAAGACTAATTCTTTCAGTTCGACATCGGAGCTATTGTTTCAACCAAGAAACTGGAAGACATGAGTTCAGATCTTATTTGGTAACATTAGTTTTCCGAAGACTGACGATAGTTGATAGTAGAAAACACTACCCAGCACAAAACTTAGGTTCAAAGGTTCTGTAGATCATCTTTGAGAATTTAATGTATCTTGATGTTGCATAGCTAATAGTTTCTTTCCACAAAATGAAAACCATATAATACCATAGAATACAGCAACAATGAGGGTATTCCTATGTTGATAGCTTTTTTGTAAATGAAACTACATCAATGGTTTTCAAGTTGTCAAGTAGAAGTTTCTGCTGTAATGTAGCTCCGTTATTTTTAATCAGTATGAAATGTTCAATTATATTTCTCATAAACAAAACAGAATTAAAGAATTCTGTTTTGTGCTATAAACCAACAAAATGTCATAGTTAACCTTCAGAACAAAATGTATGTCAACTATTTTTTTTTAAAGAAAAATAATTTAATAGAAATGATTTGTCTTAATTAAACATTCAAATGAATTGCATGAAAACAAATTTATGCAAATATGTTAGTCTGTTAAGTTTGATTAATACGATGTTGTTAAATATTTCGTTATAACACATTTCCAGAAAAAAAATATTTTTCCTTATAAATGATATAAAAGAAAACAAGAACATTCATAATTCGTCGTACATAGAAACGTCCTAGTTGTGGATATTTTAATTAAGAGCGACTTAGAACTATTTTCAAATTATTTGCATACAATGAAGTGTTCTGGATATTTATATTAAAATTGAGAACTGGTTGTACTAGTCAGCTGCTTTGTCCTCATTTTTGGACGTTCGAATGCAGTGTACATTTGACTATAAGGTGAGACATCGAATTTAGGACTTTAGGCTATTGGACAAGCATCAAACCATTTAGTTACTGGGTCAGGATAAAGTGGTCACCATAACCAACTTTAGACAATCGGGTATGTAGCACGGTTGTCATCAAGAGTCATGGGAGAGTAAATTACTCGCTGCTGATTGAAAAAAGCCACTGACCACGGTTTCCTACTAGAACGTTTGGAAACCAATGTCAAAACAAGTCAATGAAAAAGCATAAAATTTCATTGAAATCATAAATTCGGATGCTGACTCACTGGTCTAGATGTCAAGCGTTCATGTATTAAACTGAAGGTCTTGAGTTCGATTCCCAAGGGTGGGATGGTGAATGTACGTTACTGCGAATTTCCATAATAGGACGAAATGTCCGTCCACTGCTTCCAGGTTTTAAATAGTGGGTCTAAGATTAATTGATGATTTCAGTAAAATTCGACAATCTCTACAACCCCTTACTGATTGGTATCAAATTGTTTTTGTGATAGGTAGTATATGAAGATTTGATGCTTTATAAAGATGATTCTCGTCACGTTCTGAAATTATGCTTGATAATGGCCTCAGTAACTTTTGGCCTCACATCCAGGCTAAACTTTTCACTTATCAAAATTCATAACTCTGACATAACCTACAATCAATCACTTGTTTCTATTTTACTACAACTTTACAGTAATTAGATAGTGTCAAATTAAATAAACAACCTCTACGTTTCCCTCAAAAGTGGATACATGGAAGGCGATATGAAACTTTTCATATTCATTATAAGTGTAGCAACTAGTACGTGATTTTTGATTCAATATTTCTGTTGAAGTGAAGTTGAGTGATGAATTTGAAAAAGTGGTTAAGAGTTAACCTCGGTGCATGGTTTTTTATCACTTGGTGGTCAAAACCTGACATCGTACAATGTTTTAGTTAGGCACTTTCGATTACTTATGTAGTTGATATCTTATATGTTAAAAACGAAACGACTTGTTTTCTAGGTTTTTAAAGGCTGTGTAGACTCAATATATTACTAGATAAGTTGAGATTTGAAGCGAAAGGCACTGAATTCAAGTCGCGGTGTTGACTTACTTACTTACGTCTGTTACTCCCAATGGAGCATAGGCCGCCGACCAGCATTCTCCAACCCACTCTGTCCTAAGCCTTCCAATCTAGTTCTATCCTATTTTTGTTCATTTTTCTCATGTCTGTCTCCATTTCTCGAAGTAATGTGTTCTTTGGTCTTCCTCTTTTCCTTTCGCCTTGAGGATTCCATGCAAAGGATTGTCTTGTGACTCAGTTCGGTGCTTTCCTCAATGTGTGTCCTATTCACTTCCAGAGCTTCTTCCTGATTTCTTCCTTCACTGGGATCTGGGTTGTTCTCTCCCACAGTAGGTTGCTGCTGATAGTGTCTGGCTAACGGATCCAAAGTATTTTGTGTAGACAACTGTCAGTAAACCCTTATATCCTCTGGATGATGGCTTCCGTAGTTCTCCAGGTTTCCGCCCCATACAGTAGAACGACTTTGACATTTGTATTGAAAATTTTGACCTTGGTGTTGGTTGACAGTTGTTTTGAGTTCCAGATGTTATTCAGTTGTAAATATGTTGCTTTTGCTTTGCCGATCCGCGTTTTCACTTCTCCATTAGATTCACTGCGTTCATTAATGATGCTGCCCAGATATGTCAAGGTTTTTACGTCTCCCAAATCTTCGTCAAGTGTTATTCGATTGTTGCATGCTGTGTTGTATCGGAGAATCTTGCTTTTCCCTTTGTGTATGTTGTGACGTACTACTGCTGAGGCTGCTGTCAAACTGGTCGTCTTCTGCAGTTGTTGTTGTGTGTGTTGACACTAACACTAAAATATAGATATGTCCAGATGATATGCTCTAAATGAAACGAAATGGTTGTCCTTCATTCTACTACCAGCTAATATTTAACCGTAGATTAGCAACAATCCTAACGTAAAATACCTCCACACTTATAACAGGATATCGATTTTTAACGAACTGCGCTTCTGGTCATATACACAGCATATTCAGTATAATTGGAATTCATCTTCATATTCATAATGTTCTTTTATATTTAACAAGAAAGTAAAAGAATTAAACATTCATTTTGTTGAGGAATTTCATTGGTGTTTTTTGTTTGATATATTTTCTGTTGTGACTATTTTTGCTTACTAATTTGTAAACGTTCAATAATCTCTTATAATTGTAAATGATAGTAAATGACAGACGGTTTTTAAAAAAAAGTTATCTGTTGTTCTATGAACATTATTTGAAAGTTCAAGATTGTTGGCATAAAATTCTTTAGTTCTATAGTTCTATGAGCCGGCATCCTGGAGTTCTAGTGGGAAGCCGTTACCAGTGGAGTACAACCAGGTCTGTTGTGGGATATCAGCTCACTGAAGACAATGGTATATGGTGGCGCAACTTCGTGCATTGGTTGAAGTTAGACATTAACACCGTTGGATGCCGGCTCAGTGGTCTAGTGGTTAAGTGCTCGCGCGCGAAGCCAGTAGGTCCTGGGTTCGAGCCCCGCGTGGTGCGGGATCGTGGATGCGCACTGCTGAGGAGTCCCATATTAGGACGAAACGGCCGTCCAGTGCTTCCAGGTTTTCAATGGTGGTCTAGCTTCAACCGACTCATGATTTCAATCTGTGAAAAATATTTTGTTTGTTTAAAGGTCTATTTATTTAGGTTGACAAAATATTGCTTTAATCTAATGGTGACGTGTACTGCAATAACGATTTTTAAAAAATAGAAAATGATCCTTTATTGTGATTCTGTTGATCAGTTCCTGATAGACCAATGATTATTTGTAATTTGAACGTTTTAAGTTATATAAGTTATAATAAGTTCTTAGAACAATGTTACACGTATTCCAGTTAACCTAAAGAGAGTTTGTAAATTAACAGTGTAACTTTCTGTTTTTTAACTAAATTAAAATTCGAAACCTTTTCATTGGGATAGCTCTGTTATTCTTAAGTGTTAGCGGGACATAGTCTGGATTGAAGCATGCTCAATGCATGATTGCTTTGATGCACGCTGATTGGCTAATTCTTAACCAATCAGCACTACTCGATAGTTGGAGAACACTCTAGAACCTTCTCAAGTAAAAACTATAAATATACTAACGTTTTCTCTATTGTACTTCTTACTTGCTTCTTACTTCCATCTAACCTTGTTATTTGGAATATAATCTCTCTGATTTGGGGACTTCTCGAGTGAATCGGTGTCCGAGAATACTAAGCAATAGGAATAGCTGGGTCATAACCGTAAGAAAGAGATTATAACATTATGTTTGTCATTTTTATATAAATGTTTCGACTGAAATGACAGATGTACAAATCATATTGTTTTGTTTAACTTGAATTTGTAGTAGTTCACTTAATTGAAAATGTATCGTTTCTTGACTTGTTACTTTCTGTCTTTCTCATTTTTCCTACCGTTTGGAAATGAGATTGAAGAATATTTTCGATTGATGAGTAATATTTTAAATAACATACTCTTAGGATCTTAGCGCTTACAAATTGACGTGAATATAACCTTAATTATGGATCAATGAGTTGTTTATTTATAATCCCTTAAGCGATAAGTTGAAAATCATATTTCTACTTTTAATTTTACCTCAATCGTCGCGTTTATTATTTTTGTGAAGGTGGTTAATACAAAGTATTGCAAAGTTGGCAATGTAATTTTGTAGCTTGTTTTAACGCATTGAAATACTTTGTTAACAAAGGCTTATTAAATCGATGCTTTTTTCTTAACGTTTATCTGAAATAAACATGTTTAGGAAGTAAATTATACTTATATTTTATATATTTCAAACTAATTGGCTTTAAATATTTTTTTTTTCGAGTAAAAACCTTACACAAGATTGATTACTTTTCCTTAAAATTCATTTTTATTCTATAATCTGAAGATAGGGATACTTTATAGTTCAACGAAAGATTGATTTATGTCACTCGGTATCTAAAAGAATTTGACGTTTTATCAAACAACAGCCTGTTTTAATGAACGCTGAACATTTGAACAAATACTTGTTTTAAATAACTTCGTTAGCTGACTATTGAGTTGTAAATCCACGATTATTTTATTACAGTGGCTAAAACTAGGCATCGACAAAGCATTTTAATTAAAAAACTTTATACGTCAGTATAGTTAGCTTACTACAGCTATTAGTGACATGGGTGTGGTTTTTGCAGTTATAGGGCAGTAGGAAACATTGTCTAGAACTATTGTGAGGTAAATTCCATGTATTTAAAAGACGAATATTGGATTTATTAGTATCTCAAATGGAATTTACTGCATTTGAGAGACTAAAAACTCGGAAATTAAAACGTTGTTTACTGTCAGATAATCAAACCTTAAAGACCATAAGGGGATTGTTGTGTTTTTAAGCCTAGTCGATTATCACATGATTTATTTGCCCATCAAAATGCAACTTATACAATCCTAGTACTGTGCCAAACCAATGACTTTCGACCTGTATCAGCAACCCAGCGTTCTTATTGATCCTTTGTACTCTTATCACCTCCAGTTGAGTCGAGAACGCTAACAACAGTTTTCATTATGGGAATCATTTCTTTCAAACATACTTGATTTATATATCAGCCAAATAGATCACATAATATCATAAAATAGGAAATAACATTCATGAAAGATCTGACCGAGAGGTGACTGTGGACGTGGGAGACTGTAATTAATAAAGTGAGCATAATTTAAGAACAGTAAGTCGTAAAATAATATTAATCTGTAGTTCAAAATGAAGCTTATAATATGAGGAATATATATAATAGTTACTGAATAGTTATACAATAAGAATATATATAATATTAGTCTGTTATCAGTCCTCAGAAGTTACGTGTAATTCGATTCTCACTAGGATATAGTAGGGATACTAAGCAAAGACTGATAGTGGCTAGCAGTGGAATCTTGGATGCGCGTTTCATTCTATTCATGACTCGTCATGTGGATTTACCTGCATCCCAGAGTTGCTGTTCACTCCGGAACTGGGACCCAGCGCCATTCCCTTCGCAAGCCATCACGTTGTCCACTTAGCTACTGGGCACACATAACTTGTGCAAAATAGGGTGGTTTAGTTTATATATATGCTCATGACTTAGGGCGATATCGAGGCAATCCTCACAAGATGCACATATGCCAATAAGAGACTGAATAATTGCAGTCCCAAACACCAATGGTGAGATTCGAAAACTCAATATAAAAATGATATAAGGGAAATTATTTAAGTGATTGGGATGGATTTCTCTATATTTATATTTGTCACACTACACTTGGTGTTTGTGTTTCTTTCATTTGTTCTGTATATAGAGTTGAAAAATATTGTAATATAACTTTTTTAATTTTCGGATCCTATTTATTTTTATTTTTATTTCTAGATACTAAGGAATTTATTGTACATAGTTTAGCTGAAAAGCGTTTACAAGCTAGAGTTGGTGATTATTATGAATGTGTTTCAGAGACTCAATTTGTTTTTGATACTGTACAGTAGTTAATTCGAATGATAATTACATTAAATCACATAACGACAAATGGAATATTATAATGAGTTTACAAAGTGTGCGCTCTCAAGCATTTGCTGACGTCAATGTACCAGAATTTACTGGAGCAAGTAAGTATGCTTTCTTAGTCACATCCTGTATATGTAAATATAACTGACAATACCTCCTACTGTCAGCATGAATTACATTCAAATTAGCATGATTTCATTCCATTAATACAATTTAGCAGCAAAGCGTTGTACGATTTATCACACGTCAATATTGAGATTATATATATTTCAAAAACAGATGCAAACAACAAAGAAACATTTTAATAAACCATATATATATATTGGTGCTGTTCAAAGAAGAACTATAAACACCCATAAAATGCGAATATCATGAATCCACAACCGTCAAATGATTCATCAAAACAAAGAAGGAGGGAATCGAAATGAATATTATCATATGCTATGAACCCACCATTGATAGCAGTGACGAGGATAAACATCAGTTTTACGAGAGACTGCAGTCGATCACAGAGAAGTGCCTAGAAGAGAACCTGACCATCCTCATAGGATACCTAAATATGAAAGTCGAAATGTACAACAAGATATAATGAGACGAAATGATGGACTAACTGAGAGAAAGGAATGAGAATTGCGAGAGATTCGCAAATTTATGTACATTCAGCAAAATGGCTGTAGGTGGAACTATATTCCCACATAAACACATACACAAGGCTACATAGGTCTCATTCGACCACATCACAGAGAACCAGATTGATCATATTTGTATTACTAGTAAATTCAGAAGGTCGATGGAAGGCGGGAGGACCGAGAGAGGAACTGACATAACTTCAGATCACAACCTAGTGGTTTCAAAGATGAAACTGGAGCTTAAGAAGCACTGAACAACTGAACAAACAGCATTACAAAGTTTCAATACAGCCTTTCTACGAGATACTGACAAACTCCACGAATTCAAGTTAGCTCTCAGTGACAGGTTAAAGCCTTACAAGGTCTACTGAAAGAAGAAGAAACTCTTATGGAGGACAACAGGAAAGGGATCAAAGAAGCGCTAATTTCAACGTGTCAGGAGGTGCTGGGGCGCGAGAAGTATCATCATGAGGCATGGATCTCTATTGAAAACCTAAACAAGATTCAAGAAAGGAAGAAGAAGAAGACAGCAATTAACAACAGCTGAACATGAAAAAGAAATTAAAGGAACACGCTGAATATAAACAAGTAAACATGACAATGAAGAGGAGTATCCGAGCCGACAAGCAGAAATACATGAGAGACCTAACACCGACGGCGGAGAAGGTTGCCAGAGAAGGAAATATGAGATGACTATATGGTGCAACGAAATAACTGGCAGAGAAATCTTGTAAACTAGAGATACCGGTCAAGGAAAAAGAAGGCAAGCCAACCACTAAGAGACATCACACTACTATCTATACTGGGGGACGTTTTAAGCAGTGTTGTTGAACCGGATGAAGGATTTAGTAGACGCTCAATTTCGGTATCAACAGACTGTATTTCATGAGGATCGGTCGTGCATAGATCAAATCACGACATCACTGATCATTGTTGAGTGGAATTCGTCAACTTTCTTGACATTGAGAAAGCGTTTGACATTGTGGATAGGAGAACCTTATGGAACCTTCTTCGACACTATGGTGTACCTGAGAAGATCGTCAACATTATTCGCAATTCATACAACTGACTTTACTACAAAATGGTGCGTGTAGTAGTACAGTTGACAGACGCATTCCGAATGAGGACCTGAGTCAGACATAGCTGTCTACTTTCCCCCTCTCTCTTTCTTCTGGTGGTTGACTGGATTATGAAGACTTCCAAATCTGAGGGAAGGTACGGATACATTTAGACAATTTGGACATCACAGATGATCTAGCTCTTCTGTCTCATACACATAAACAAATACAAGTGAAGTTCGCCATTTTAGCAGCAACCTCTGCAGCAATGGGCTTTAACGTACACAAGGGAAAAAGCATGATCCTCAAATGCAACACAAGACACCGACTGAATCTCACTTGATGGAGAAGTTCTGGAAGAGGTGAAAACTTTCACTTTTCTCGACAGCATGATTGATAAACAAGGAGGATCTGATGCAGATATGAAGGCATGGATTGAAAAAGCAAGGTCCACATTCCTATAGTTGTAGAATATGTTAGACTCAAAAAAACTGTCAACCAACATCAAAATCACAATCTTCAATACGAACGTCAAGACAGTTCTATCATACGGAGCTGAAATGTGGAGAACTACTACAACCGTCATCAAAAAGTTACAGTTATTTATTAACACTAGCCGTTTCGCCGGATAACAAGCAACAGCCTACTGGACTGTTTTTCCAATCAACCGAAAATTTGACCTTATTTATCTTCCATACAATTTAAAAACACAAAATTTCAACCCTAGCACTTCATGATACAACTACATACAATTTTTATCCACCTTCTACGGCACAAGTTAATGCAGTGGCAGGTCGTACAAATTCATCTTGACCAAGAATAACACCACACTGACATATTCAAACCTACATTGACTTTGATTGTACTAAAAATATTCTGCCTTGTTTTGTTATATTATTTAAATTTGTGTTAATTTGATTCGGTTATTTCTTTAATCTGAAGAAGTCTCTTACATCAAGTCACGGAACGTTAGCAATACAATTTTCTATTTATTGGGACCTAAGAAAAAAATATTTATTTTTAACTTTCCACCGAATGCCCAATTTATTTGAAACTGTCATGTTCAACCTTGGCATTAATACCTATAAACATAAATACCAATCTATTTAAGGACATCTTTTCTCATATCTCATTTGTTTCCTTATTGAGTTGAATATTTTGACTTGAATAATTTTTTAAGACAATTTTTTCATTGTGCTTATTTTTTTCAATTATATCTTTCTAGGTGTTGTGTGTGCTGGTGATATCTCACATGATATGAGTCTATCTATTGCAATTGGTTTATCATTGTGCAGTTTAGTTATTTGTGTACTATTCGGTTTAGCAATTAATCACTTAAGACAAAAAGATGAAGTCTTTAAACCTGTGGATACAACAGGAGATGACCAAAAGTCATGAAAATATAACGATGATTATGAAAATTGTTCTCAAATTGCAAACATTTAGCATTATTATCATCACATTCATGACTTACATTACTCATTTTTAAGTTCACCATTATTCATTATGTCAGTCACCTAAACCAGATCAGAAAAGTTTTGTGACGGAAGACGGGCGA